TTCCCAAATTAATTAATTTAAAAGCTTAATTCTTTATAGTCATTAGGACACAGACATTAGCACTATAAAGGATCTACGTAATGAGAACTCAGTTTTGATGTATGTTGTTGTTGGTGTTGAGATCGGACTTCACCGTTAATGTACTGTGTTTTATGCAATGCTGCCGCTCTTGGTGGTGAGAGCTTAGCTTGGCAGTTAATGAGAAATCATATAGCCAAAAGATTAGTATTTAATGGTGCTGAAATTCAATAGTCCTGTTAAATATGCCAAAATTTGCAGATGACGAGAATACAGTCTTCCTATGGGTACTGCGATATCACGCTACCAAAAACGTTAATACTTTAAAGTACTAAGAAATTAGTATTTGTATATGGTAATACGGATGCTGACAGATGAGTTTGCCCATTAGGCATTAAGCATTACTTCTACAAAGTTATTACGCTGTAGAGTGAACTGCACAAGAATTTGAATTTAAATGTGATTTAATATTTGTTATAATGAATGTTACTTTGGATGTTAAGAGATTAGACTTCACAAAGAGCAAACATTAAAGCTGCTAACAGATTAATCACTCTGAACGTTACGCTGAGTGCTGATAAATCAACCTGTAAGTTCAGTTATGAGAGGTGCTGAGATAGAAATGCTTAAAATTAGTATTTTAAACATGCTGAAAAATCAGCCTTTCTGTGTGTCATTCTGAAAGATCAGACTGTCATAAATTTATTATGATATTATTTCATATTTTATTGATATATTAGATACTGAGATGAGACTTACTAAGAATTAGTAATTACAGGTGCTAAAAGATTAGCCTTCCTGTGATTTGAGTGCTGAAAAATCAGCGTACAAAAGAATTATTATTTACAAAATGCTAAGAAATCTGTTTTTGCTGTATTTTATCATCGATACTGAGACTTCAGACTGACAATAAATCGGAATTTACATTGACTAAAGAATTTCTCTTCATATATCTAGTTGTGATATCTAGATTTATTTCGCTTTATACCCAATACACGATTAAATTACATTTTTCTGTTATTCTTAGAGTAGCTAATAACTCTTACTATAATCTAATTGCACGGAATACAGTATTTAGTAACTATAGCTTAAAGATATGTTATATTTACAATATATTAAGTAGAATGCTGAAAGATCAAATTCATACTTTCTTGTAGCGTATTATTAAATATAGGTATTAGGGAAGTAACGTTACGAGAGTATTTCTAATCCACATTTGTGATAGAAATATATTCAGAAATATATTAGTTTTCAAAAACATATACCTGTTAATTGATTTGCTTTCAATGATGCAAATTACTCTATTAAAGATTAATGACTAGTTTTCAATTCTCATTAAAGTATTGATTTGACGTAAGATATTTAGTGTTTAATTTAGTGTTTAATATCACACACTTAAGAGTCACTTAAGTGTGCATTGTAAAACTGGGTATAAATATAGTGTCATTAAACAACTTAGTAAACTATAAATCAGGCTTCAGTTCAGTAAAATAATTCTATGATATGAAAGGTTAACTTTAGTAGTTTTATATGGTTTTTCTCTCCCAATTCCATTCGAGCATAATGAAATATCACAGCTCTTTAGAAGTGGAAAAACATAAAATAGCTATATTCTTATTATAAATTGCATTGTGGAATATCGCTTTCATTGCAAATAATTATACATCTTCTTCGTCTATAGTTTTTGGAACCTAAATGAATAGTTGTAGTAAAAATTCGATTACACAGTAATCCCTCTATAACGCGGTAGATTGGTTCCGCGTTATAGAGGTATTCCCGTATACACACGTGCAAAGGTACGCGAAGTTAATTATGAACTGTACAAATCTGGGGGGTTGGAATCGCATAATATGAAAACATGTTATAAGGGTACCGCGTTATAGGGGGATTACTGTATATCACTCGATATATACTTCCATAATTACTTCCATGCAATTTTTTTTATTTGTAATTTTAGAATCAAATGAATATATTATGCAGAACCTAAATAAAATAATGTATTCCATATAAAATATATTAACATTCAGTAAAAATTTTTAATTATAAATTGAAATTAAATAGTTATTGAATAAAAAAAAATTCTAATAAAAAAATAAAAATAAAGTTTGACTGTTAAAATCAACCGAACAAAATCTGTTTTTTAATTAACATTATTTTTTTCCAATTGTTATACAAAAACAAAATGATTGCTTTAAAAGATATTAAATTATCTTGAAAAAATAACAGCATTTACTACGTATTTGCAAAACTTTTCTTGCGGCTACTGGCGTGGGAGGGTAGAACAGCAGGTCGCTGCACTTTCTCGAAAATTTCGATAGAAAGAACAAAAACTTAACAAAATAAGAATATTGAGAAAGTAACATAAAATTTTAAACATTTCCATTTACTTACAATAAAAACTCCATATTGCTGTAAGTTACTGTAATTTAATGCTTATAATTATATTAATAATTAATACGCGCTGTAAATTGTTTTCGGATTTATTTTTAGCAAATATGACGAATAGGATTTATACGCCTTGAATAGAATCAAATCATTAGTATTCAACACTACAAGGATTGTTCCATAGGCGCTTTAACCGTAAAAAATGTTTTAAACTTATATGCAAACGTGATCGCCGACTTATATATTTAAATTCTTTAAATTTTAGAAATTTTATTCGTCTTCTCAATCCTCGGTCGTCTAATTTCTTTACACTCTTTAACACTTATATTCATTGTTGTTCTGACTTTACATCATTTTTTATCAGTTGCAACTTTCTAAGATTGACATATGTTTGACAACAAACTACAGTACAGCTAAAATTTGTTTATTATTAAATCATACATAACAGATATATTCACACAAAATATGCAAAGCAACATTTAGCACGTATGTTGAGTATTAGTATATATGTTAATTAAATGAGATGAAATTATATAGAGATATTAAACAAAATTGTTTGTAATAATTTTTCTTAATGGTCATATTAATGAATAATATATGAAAACACAAATGGCAGACACAAACATGTAAAAAAGTAGTTAGACTTATTGTATTGAAACTACTCTCTAAGCATACAATAAATATTTCGTCTACTAATAAACTAAGATATATTATTTTTAAATCAAATTTTTATTTTTTATGTATAATCGTATATTTGTATAATATTAATTGTACATAATCCGTACGCATTCATAATGTGTCATCAACTGACTAATGTCTACTATAGTAATATAAATAGGTCGTCCTTCACGATTCGTATATAACATTCTAAACTCGTGTTAAATATCTCAAAGTGTTAAGTGTTAAACTTATGCTAGTAATATAGCGAGAGATGTCAAAATGTGGCGTAAAAGTCAAATGTTTAACATTTCAAAGTATGAACAAATTTGTTAAATATTATTTTCAATGTGATTAATTAACTATTGCCACCTTAAAGCGTATTCACACTGTCTCATTCAGGAACTTGCTCATTTATATTAATGCGTGAAAGTTCATATTATATTGAGCTTCTTTATGCAATTGATAAAACTTTTATAAACTTAATAATATAATAATATACTTAATAATATAACACACCAATAAATTATATTTATAATTGTTATATTAAATCTTTTACATATATTTTATATATCAATTAAAAATTCAATTAATGAAAACAGAGATATTATTAATTACTTACTTCCTCAGTGCCTTTGCTTACAGCTCAGCTGTTGTTTGTTTACATTTTATATATAAAGCATAAAACAAATATTTCTTATATTAATAATTTCTCTTTTAGGAAGTTTATTTTTAAGGGTTGCATTCCACTTTTTTTTGCCTTAAATGAGCTGATTTATTGATAATGATCTTATTTATGTGAAAGCTATTTGTGAGGTAAATCATCCTCATTAATGAGCAAAACCAACTAATATTATATTAAATTATTTACTTTTGGAGCCTTTAGATTAATGTGTATTTAAAATTTACAAATAAAGTTGCACAATATAATTTCTTTGTGTTATGTCAAGTCTTGCTCCATAACTTATGGTACACACAGAATGTACAATCGCAATGTTACTGCTTAATTATTATAAGGGCCATGTTATGTAGTATCATGGGCTCGTCATGTTGTTTTCAATGCAAATTATAAAATTGAGAGACAGAGAGAAAAGAAAATATATCGATTTGAATTTGGTCATAAGACACTTTGACAAAGCAGTATTATTTAGTAATAAATGTCAACATTTGTGTCTTTTAGAAGCAAACTACCACAATTTCTGTTGCACTCTACATAATATGCATTTTATTCAAAGCCCAAAAGAGACAATTTTAACGAGCTCATCACACTATATAACTTGGCCTTAATAGATGTTATTATTAATATGTTAATTAATTTAATATATATAATTTAATACAAATTAGCATGCTTAACAAAAGTCATGTAAGTGATTTTTGTGAGATTTTACTTTCTTAGGAGAAAATGTGAAAGATAAATAAATCGGACATGGCTTTTAATCACAACAGCATTAGGAGAGGTAAATATTATAAAAATATGTACGAATTTTAACTAATAAACATTTATTTGTAATTGATACAAAAAGTGCATTTGGATGTTTAAATTTTAAACGTCTTTATAAGGTAAATTCGAAGGTAAATTATTAAATAAATATTAAACATAATACAATTTTTTGTAGTAGAAAAAATTGAATACATACACTTATTAGAAATTTAGACGTGTGCCAAATTAGTATATTTCGTAATTCTGGTATGGTGAATAAATAAAGGATTTTTTTGCGATATTATACAAAGAGGCACAATTATTTAAAATTTCTTGTCAGTTTCATTTTTTTTATCTTCTTTGCTACGTATATTCAGAAAATGAGTATCACTTATTATATTTCATAGCATTTCATCAAATTATTTAGATGTGTTTTATATTATTTTCATAAAAAAATTGCGCAACTTGATATAAAAGAAATCAAATGTTTGACAATGTTAGGAAGCGCTAATAAAAACATTTTAATAGTAGTGGTATTTTTTACATTGTGATCAAGAGTGTCGTATTCATATATATGTTGTACAGTACGTTCAAAAACCTCTAAAGCAGCGAACGAAATCTGAACACACGTGGTAAGCATTGTGCGTGCTAGTTCAACTCTCAGGGTTTATTTATAAATTGGATCCAGTGTATTTTCTTTTAAATAAATATGGTAAGTATTAATTGTAGTTTACATATTTTGGATAAATAAGTATTTAATACATAAATACTGTTAAACAGAGTACTTAAACAAGTTAATTAAAAAATTTGTAAAGAACTCATAACCTTAGCGTAGTGCTAGGCCAATGTGGCACATATTTTAATAAAATGTGAAAATTTATTAATTGCAGACGAGTCTTTATGTGCTCTACGAGCACGCGGCAGGTTATTCGCTGTTCTCCGTAAAGGAGTTTGAGGAAGTTTCAATGTTTTTACCTCAAGTTGAGTCTTCAGTGACTGATATTGGTAAATTTAATTCAATCGTAAAACTGGCAGGCTTCGCACCCTTCAAAACTGCAATAGCTGCTTTAGAAAATATTAATGCCATTTCGGAGGGCATAGTTCCAGAGTCATTGTTAGTGTTTTTGGACGATTTCTTTTCCAAGCTTAAAAAGAAAAAATGTACGCTTGGTATTGCTGATGCAAAGTTAGGCGCAGCCATTACAGAGTCTGTTGGTGTGCAGTGCAGTCATTTTGGTGTCGTTCCTGAAATAATACGTGGTATACGGTTCCATTTCCATAAGCTGGTTAAAGGTGTGCATATATTTTGATATACTTATTAAATAATTCCACTAATAATAAATACTTTTTTAAGGATTTACTGATAAATCTGCGGGTGTTGCGCAGCTTGGTTTGGGCCATAG